TACTGTACAGAATCATCACGTTTTCAAAGAAGTTAAAATACTCATCTTTACAATGTGCATTTTTGCAGTCAAAGTTCACACTAGGATTAAATTTGCACAATATATCTTCATTCAATCCAGTCGAAAAAAGTTATCGAATGGATACATTAGTGAAATATGTGTGTCAAAGAGTCTTACTGTCCACCTCTAAACCGACAACTAAAGCTGTGATTGGTTACAATTTGAATACATATACATATATACATATATTTACATATAACATATAACATATAAATACAAACTGGTTTCCGACCATGCTGGTTGTTGTTGCAGCAACTGAACTTAGCTAACAATATCAGCCGTTCTCAGGGGCCCCTCTCAGCTTGGTGCCCCAGGCAATTGTCTGTTTTGCCTACCCACTGCAATGCCCCTGTGTATAAATCTATGTGAGACCCACCATTTCCTAAAGATCTTTATGGGATACAGCATTGTTTAACTTCCATTAGACATAAATACTTGTAATACCTAAAATAAGGTTTGATTATACACATTGAAACATTCTGCATAACTTAAGGGTAGATGTTATGATATATAATCTCTTTACTGCAATCACCTATTTGTCATTTCAATGTTTCATGGTCAGATTTCATTAGTGATTGGATAGATTTGAGTTACTAGTGTAGCACTAGTGTCAGAAAATGATCAGCAACTGTTTTGACTAATTGTGATTAATGGTAAGTTATTTTTGATTATTAAATTATTTTCCTGATATCTGTTATCGTGATCATTAATTACATTTCAAATTATTATCATTAATCAATAAGTATATTCGTATATTGATTTCCCGATTAATTGCAGTTAAAGGAGACAAGTGTCAAAGAAAGACTGGCTGTAGATGTCAGTCAGTCAATGCACCTGCGACCTCAGTGCTCCATCTAAGTGATGCAGTGCTCCATTCCTGGTGGTCATCCTTCGCATTTCCTGCCTCATTTTACAAAAGGTACCAGGATCATCTACGACCGGAAGTTCCTGCTGGAGCGTCGCAGCTCTCCGGTGGCCAAGACGCCTCCACGAGGTCTGCCCAACATTCCAGGGGTGACCAGTCCTCCCTCCAAAGACCCCAACAAGAAAGAACTACTGAACAACAATGTTGCTTCACCTGAGAGCAACAACACTGGTATGTTCACATGTCAGACACACTCTTTTCTGTCTAACATAAGATAAGAAATAAGGTCATTTGTATAGTTTTACATTATTGTTCAGCCTGGGATTGTGTCGATGTTGCTAATTTTCAGTTTGGGAAGAGTTTGTTGTTTTGCCCTAACCATCAGTTGGTGATTTTTCAGTCCCATCAAAACCATTTTCAGCTGCCTCACAAGCAAAATGCAGTTACCGTGCCGATTGGGAACTTGGAATCAAACCACCAAACTTCTTGTGAATGGACATATGTTTATCTTTCTTTTTAAGGTGACGACGCACAGTTTGAAATGGACATCTAGGTGGAATGAGTATTAAGATGTCAGACTTACCATTACGATGCTGTGACAAAGGGTTCCAGAGCACCTCCTCCTTTCCCATCATCCATTCCAGGAAGACAAAGGTTCACCTTCAGTATCCGCTGCATCTTATGGTCTTCAAGTCTTTGTCAGTCTCGTCTACTCGTTTTGCCCAGAACAAATGTGTAATGAAACCAGGCCACAAAGGTCAAACCTGATTTACGTGTGACAGCAAGTGTGCCTTCCTGTAGTGGCTACGAGTTTGAAATCAACACTGGGAAGTACTTAACACCAACAAAGCCTCATCATTTGTTACAGATAGAAAATAATAATAAGATCCAATTTTTTTTGAATTTATGTGCATTCCAGAAGGAGAGGTTGTCACTTGATGTGCTTTTATTTCCACACATTTCTTGACACCTCCCTTCAGATGTTGCCTTGGTCATGTTGAAGATACTGTATAAGTTCAGGTACAGATGGATCATGCTCTTAAAATTGAAAAAGTACTTCACCTGAAGTGTCATACAGAGAATGTAAAATAGAATTTTGTTAAAGACATTTTGAAACAAATTTTCACACGGTTTGAAGATTAAAAGCATTAAAGCAAAATCAATTGAAGCAAACAACACTGTGTGTGTGTGTCTGTGTATTCAATGTGTGCTACCAGTGAGTCTTGTACTGACATCATTTGAACAATGTCTTCAGTGTTTACTGGTTTGAATACACATTTCACTTGCTTGGTGCCATCTGAGAGAGTAAAAAGACATATTAGGTTATTTCCTTAATGAAACGAATAGAAAAGATTTGGTGAAAACAGCTGAATTATTTGTTTTTCCATTTTCAAAGTAAGTGAAAAGCTAATATACATTTTCAAGTGATGATTCTTGACTTTGGCTTGCATTGCAGCCTGTAGCACTTCCTGTGCTCCCCTGATTCAGCACAAGTCAGGAATCAGGAATTCCTCAAGCGGCTCACTGATAACCTCAGTCAGTGGACTGTATAAAGAGAGGTCAATATACAACTCTGCATAGCTGGGAGAAACTCCTTTTCCTTCCACTCAACATTTTGACCTCCATGTATGCGGCTTGCCCCTTGTTGATTTACTGTATACAATTCATTATTAAAACCTTCACCAGGCCAAACAGTCTTCTTAGCCGTGTCCAGGCTATCTCCCTTTTACACATGCATGTTGTTAAAGGCTTCAGATGTATATGACTTTGAATAAAATTAGACAAAACAAATAAATTATATTCATGGATTTAAAGTAATCATCACATTTTGTGGCTGAGGGTGACACTATGATCTGTCCATCATGTTTGTTAAGGATGAGTAGGACCGAACATGATTTGGAGGTGACTACACCAAGCTCAATCTACTCTGTACTTTATAAGAAGAAGAAGAAGAAGCGAAGCAGGAGAATAAACTTTATTTCTATTGCACATTCAAAAAAGTAGAGTTACAAGGTGCTTCCCAAAATAGAAATACAAATGCAAAGATAGCAAATCATAGAAAAGCCAGATCCTACTCAGCACTGCAATGAAACAAAACAGATAAAAGGACAACATTATAACTTTAAGAAAATAAAAGCCGGTCCATAGGTGAATTTTTTAACTGCTTTTTAAAATGTCCTCTTTCTGCTCATTTACATCTCTCACACAATTCAGTAAATAAACCAGCACAAAGTAAGTATGAGATTCTGGACATTACTTCTTCTTTTCAAATTGAAAAGAACAAATCCCAGAGGGAACTGAGTCTGGACGTGTCTCGTCTCTCAGTGTGGATTGAACAGTTTCAGATGATCAGTTCCAGTCTGCCCTGTCCTTCCTCCACAGTAGCGCCAGAATCCAGACGTTGACTCTCTCCATTCCCCTCACGCTGCTCTCTGTTTGTTTGGGGTCCGCTTGTCACCTCTGCTTCCTGATACCCACCCACCCACCACCCCGCCTCCCCAAAACAAACAAGTGCTACTGCTTGTTCTCTCCCCCCATTGATCTGGGCTCCAGTGTACTTTCTGAGTGGTTCCCCTCAGCGCGCCTGTTTGATCACAATCAACAAAAGAAGCCTGGCCAGAGAGCAGCTAATGACCTCTGATGATGATGATGATGATGTGTGTGTTTGCACTGTGGACCAGAGATGTGGATTGGAGGTGAGGAAGGCAAATACACTAAACTGTTTGCTGGTAAAGGAGACAAGATGTGAATGAATATCTCCGAGCAGGTTGAGGGTCTGAGGAGTTTGTTAATCCAAAGGGATTCTGTATAACAAGGTGTGTGAACACACAGTAACTGTTGGAGAGAGCTTTAATGGACATTGCTGCAAATGAAACTGACAGAAGAGTTAATGCTTCTACAGCCCTGTTTATTTTTCAACAAATAAGTTGTGTATGGAAGCAAATGGTAAGATTTTTAGAATTAAATTAATACCTTTGTATTTTAGTTCAAACTTAGATGCCACAATATTTTACTTTTGAAAATCATCTTTTTAATTTATATGGTCTGTTCTGCTCTGTTTAAAAATGTGCAATTTCTAAAACTATTCCCAGTATAAATGTAGGTTTTTGATCATCCCGTTTCTCCAATTTTTCAATAGAGTTCAAACAGTGGAAGCAGGACGTCTTGTTACAAACTTTAAGGATAAAAACGTTTGTCAAAAAATTGAAAAAAATCTTCTCCATTTAAGAAAAAACAGGCCTTTTGCAGGGATTAAGATTTTGCTGAGTTGACAGTTTCCTGCAGCAGTGGAAGAAAGATATTACCACAGGTGTCCCAACTTCTGTTGGTGACTTACAAACTGTCTGTCTGTCCAAAGGCAGTATCTGATGCATCATTAGAAAACGTACTGCAGGAAGTAATATTGTGTTTGGCAAGAAATAGACAACAAATAATGGGGGACAGACAGGTTGTTCAGGGCCTCAACCTACAGACAGACAAACAACACAGTATCCAGACATGAGACCCACCGAGCTGGTTTGAGATGACAGGAGGTGAAAGTGAAGCTTTAAGTTTTGTCAGGACAAAATATTTTTACTTTACATCGCAGAGAAAACACAATAAATGAGTTTGTCTGAAAGGTGAATTAAATTCAAATTTGATGATTCTTTATTCAAATGTATTTATTTTATTTATATATTTTTACCTCCACCAAGGAGATTATATTTTACCTGTCCATTTATTTGTTGGTTGATTTGAGTGCAAGATTACACAAAAACTACAGGAGGGATTATCATGAAACTTGGTGGAAGGTTGCAATATGGGTCAGAAAAGAACTCCAGGACTTTAACATTGGTGATATTGTTTTGTTTTTTTTCAACATTTTCGCAGGAAATTATTAACGGACCTACATAAAAGAAATCTGGCATGTTCAGGGAACTGATATCTATGAATGTGAAATTTGGTGCAGCTCTCAAACATTTGACTTGTAGTTTCCAGTTTCCAAGTTTATTCAAACTGAAAATAAGATCATCCATTATTCAGAACTAATCAAGTTCTGAATAGCCGAGTTTGTGAAAAGACAGGAAACTCCATGTTTGTCAAAATAAAATGTTTATTATTTATTATTAAACATATTTTATGTACAAAATATACATTATAACGTATAAATAGATACAACATATAATACTTGTATAATGGAGCTCACTCCACACCAAAGATAGAAAATACATTTGTGCACCACCCAGTATGGATGAAATATACATTGAGTCATTCAGCCTCAGGAGACATCTCATTATTTGTTGCAGAAGACCATGAAACAGAACTCTGACTTTAATATTTGAACATTATTGTTGTGTAAAGAAGCAGTTTTATGCTCTGTCAGTAGTTGCTCTTATGACTCGGTGATGGGGGGGCCTTCAGTGACAGCCACACTCCTCCACAATCATGTCCTCGTGATGACGCAGCATCAAATCGTCGTTCTCATAGTAGAGCATGGAGAGAGGGCTGAGCCGTGTTGGCACGCAGGACGGACAAGTCACTCTTTCTGGATGGCGCTGACGCAAGAGACTCTGAAAAAAAGATGAAGAATTCACACAAACAGATCAGCAACTTCAGAAAAACTTGAAGATTCTAAAGAATTGAATTGGATTAAAACCCGAGCTGCCATCTTACCTGCATGTATGCATGGTTGGTGGGCTGGAAGGACTCATCCAGTGGTGTCGGACACTCTCCCTCACAGCGATATGCGTTGAAACGCTTGGGATGCACAATCCACTCGTCCCAGCCGATGTGGTCAAAGTCCACCCACATGTCTACCTTGCGACACAGCGGCCTCTGCACCGGCTCTGCTGTCGGTGCAGCTCCACCAGCCACTCTCATCATCTCCATTCGGTTCCTTTTGTGGCGTCGACTTTGACTGTCACTGCTGACTCTGTCCATGGTCACATACTTGGAGTTCTCCACCGTGTGAATGAGACTGTATGCAGCGTGGCCTTCCTGAGGCAGGTTGTGTTTGGAGAAGATAACCATCATGACCCGGTTTGTTATTGAATGGTTTATTTTTCTTTGCCTCAGTCCCAAATTCTTGAAGAGGGCCGTGTCAGTTGTCTGCCTCTCCTCCCCAGCACCGCTCCCACTGTCTGTCTCAGCCTCTCCGGAGGCCTCTTGGCTTGACACTCTGTCGCCTTGGTACAGCCAGAATTTTAACAGAGCGGTCACATTAAAAACCTTCCAGGAAGACTTTGTGCTGCTGGGCGACGTGCCAAAGCTCCCCAGGAAGAGGTGCTCATCCTGGCATGATGTGCTGCCCGGGTCACAGCTCTGCTTCCGGGAGTGATATAAATCCACAGTGGCGCGCTCAGAGCCAGAGAAGGCCGGTAGACCGATTCGAAGCTCTGCCAGCTGGATGAGCTCGCTGGCAGAGATGGCTGACATGTCAAATGTAACTGTCCATCTGTCACCCACTTGATGGCAACCTAAGAAAAAAAGAGACGTGTAAATGAGAACTCAAACTCACACAAAACAGTCAGCAGTTTGGGGGATTCTGGGAAAACCAGATCCCTGGACAAATGTCAAAACAGTGGAGTGGGAGGGTGAAGAGAACAGGATGTGTATTGAACCCCCCTGTCCAAGGAACGTCTGAGGGCTAATATACACACCCTGTCACATAAAACAGAGAAAGCCTTTAAAGTGGAATAAGCATTTTGACACTTGTCGGGTTGTAAAAAGGGAGGGTCTGATAACACAGAGTGCAGCAGCCAAAGAGCTGCTGGACAACAGAGTCTACACACTGAGAAACACACACATACACTGTCTAACATGGTTCATGTCCAGAATAAGCTTTATTTGAAAAATAATCATGATAAAGTGTTTACTCACCTTTAGCCTTCAGACTAAGGACAGAGTCAGAGCTGTACGCTGATGGGTTGTCCCCTCGCGTGTTGGCGGTGTTGACAGCTACTGACGAGGAGGAATCGACGGTCCTGAAGGAGCGGTACAGATGCATCATGTACAGAGGGTATCTGCTGCGAGGATTAACTGAGAGGTTTCTGAATGATAGACTTCTCTCGAGGCCGGTGCGAGACCTGTGGCCCCGAGTGGAGAAAACATTTCCCAAAGAGCCGAGGAGGAGCGTACAGAAAACTGTCAGCACTCTTGTTTCCATTTTGACTGAAACTCACAGAGAGAGAGAAAGAGAGAGAGAGGTGAGAGCTCCTTCCTTCCTTCCTCCAGCTGGTCTCAGGCTGAACTGATGCTGGCTGCAGACGGAGCTCCAGACAGGCCCCTTTATAGTGGACAGCTGCCCTTTGATGACCCCTGACCACTCCAGGCATCTCAGCAGACCCTCTGATCACTGGAGCACATCAGAGGGCCACAGACAAGAAAACATTTAGCCAAGGTCATTGTCCTGTCAAACTGACCCAGCCTTTTTTTATTCACTCAGGAGCCTGATCCCTTTCAAATGTAAAAACCCATTAACAAATAACACCTTAAATCTCGTATAGCCATTAGCACGTATCTGTTTCGTAACAGTGGCACAAGTAACGTGAAGTTTCAATGGATGATGCATGACAAAAATAATTGAAAAAAATTGAAAGATCTTTATTTATTAATGGAGAATAAATACAACACTTGTCTTGTTCAGCAGTTCCAGTCAGGAATGAATAAAACATGCACAACAACTGTGTGATGTTCAGTAAACTGTATTTCCATATGGTCCCAGCGGTGATCACACAGATTTAGTTTATAATTTACACAGGCTCCACTGATCTGTGTTTCAATCATAGGAATATGTGAATTATTGTGTAACAAAAAAGAAATTCGGTTCTAAAGACTCAAACGTGTAAACAAATCAACGCTAATAAGCTGAAAAATGTAACAGTAAAAGTCTCTACAGAAGAACATTCATATACAGACAATATTTTCATGTGTCATGTAGAGATGGAGGTTTATCGAAGTCTGTTTTACAATAGTATTATATTATAATATATTCCTTCAAGCCGATTGGCTTGTATGTGTTGATATGTCACTTAACACTTAACTAAATGAAGTCTGGTCTGTTGATGTGGTCTGAAAACTGTTCCCTCACAAAGAGCTGAAGAAGTTCTTCACCTGTGTATGAAATGATCACCATAGATCAGAACTGTGAAACACATCAAACATCCCATCAGAAAACAAATGCAATGAGCTGTCACTAAAACAGGCACATGAAAATTGACAGTGACCCCATGTGGTTAACGATGGCACAGCACATATAAGATCCAATAAACAAACACATACCCTTGTAATAAGCTGCTCCCGCACCTCAGGGTCCCTCTGAAACTCCACATTGCCATCGAGTTGTAACACAGGTATGTGTTTTAACTTCTCAAAGTGTATTCTGAAAAGACAGAGCCGAGCTGCGTTAGACACTTCATCACAGCAGCAGACCACACACTGCTGACCGTCATCTGTTTACAGCTGAGCAGCAAACAGCTGCGAGGACAGCCATTAAAACCCAGACTGTCAAACAGGAATCTGAGCAGAGCATCCTGTAGAACTCTGACTGTGCCACTGCTGGTGTCTTTGACTTCAGTTTTGAAATTCATTTCATTTGAGCATTGCAAACCAGATTATGAAGGGATGATCTGCAGGTTATAGCAACTAAATACCACAATTTAATTCATTAATATGCTTTTATGAATTGGATGTAAACACTGAAACAAAGCTCTGCATTCACTGAACATTGTTGAGCTCAGCTCATCCTCGATAATAACAACTTTAAATGTTGCACTACAGGTTATGTTGTGATAATTCAAAACCACATTTCAGTGGTGGGTAAAAAATATTCAGGAGGGGCTGGAAACGACAGCCATGTCATAATCATTACTCACTCAGTACTTTTCTCGACCAGCCACCGCTCATGTTGGACATGTAGCTTCTCAAGGTAGTCCAGCTCCAATCCCTTCTCCTCAGACCTTCCCCGATTCTCCAAACGCTCCATACATCTCTGAGACGCACAATTCTTGTGTTTGTATTGTTTTTAGGATGAAACTGAATATTGTTTTCACATAATTGTCAATTGCGTACATTTAAATTACAACACATACAAAAGTGAATTGACATATAATACGGTTTGTAACAATGAATATTTAATGTTCATACCTTTGGTGGAGCTGTGAGGTAGATGATGCCCTCCAGCTCCACCTGGTGTCCAAACTGTTCCACCAGCAGGGAGTGCCAGTCCTGGTAAACGGCCCATTCTGTTGAGTTGATACAACCCAACTCGAACATGTTCAAGGCAAAGATGTATCTGACAGGACAGAGACAGGACAGAGAGTCAGTTCATTCACACAAACTAAATAAAAGGCAATAATAATATGGTGATATAGTTTGAATTTGGGGACAGTGGAGTGAGTCTATCGCAGCCAAACTCAGCCTGGTTGAGTGGACATTAACACCTTCACACCCATCATAATTAATAATGTGTCTTCTAAGTGAAAGGCCCAGAACTATAATTCCACTAATATCATCAAACTTGAACTCTTCTGTCTCGCTCTGTCTCACTCACCTGTCGCTGTAGATTGAGCGCTCGTACACCTGGACAGGCGTTCCCTCTGAGCTAAGCAGGCGAGCAGGAGGAGGCTGCAGCTGTGTTCTCAGTCTACTCATACACGAATATGTCTGAAATGTGTACGACCAGCGCTCGGGGTCCTGGTACATCATCTGCAGCAGGTTGCTGACTGTCGCCTGGGGGGACGAGTCTGGCCCCTGTTGAACACAAGCAGAGATGGTCAGTTCGGCCGCCATTTTTTTAAACGGATAAGGAGGTCAGGGAGAGTGTGCCCACCTTTGACATCCCACTCTCTATGTTCTGCCACTTGCTGACGGGTTCTGCCATCACCTCCCAGTCTGGACAAGCTGACTGCAGGAGTCTGGCAAAAGTCGACTTTCCAACAGCTGATAAATGACATCACATAAGACAAGGATCTTACACAGCCAAGTCCCAAACTGTGTGTGATCTGAGTCTCAAAACGAAAACCACTGCATTTTAAGGTGAAGGTTGGGTTTAGTATTAGGTAACTTGAAACTATGATTAAGATTAGAGTGTCTCCAGGAAATTTATGTAATGTCCTCTGACGTCATGGAGAAATGACTGTATGTGTGTGTGTGTGTGAGAGAAACAGGCCAAGACTAGAACACACACAAACCTACCTGTCAATAAAACATCAGGTATATGAAACCATTTTTTTAAGGAGAGCATCCACTGGTGTTGGCCAAGATTTATAAATGATTTCCTTTATATTTACTAAGTACTTTGCAATTAGAATCAACAATATAATGTAGAATACTCATGAATATCCAAAATTATCTGCACACATTTCACAGAAACACCAAACTAAACCACACATGAAAATATAAAAGTTGTGTGATCTCACCTATGTTGCCCTCGATAGAAACTCTCTTCACTTTAGATTTTGCATGTGGAGTAGAGGTTGCACTGAGACTCCTGGAACAGGAGGCACTGATCGCGTCTGCTTTCCTCGCCATAGAACTTGAGTTAGCAGTTGTCTGAGTGATTCCAGCTCGTAACAAGCTGGCAGGTGTTTTCCACTGAAGAGGAAGAGGAGGAGGAGGAGGAGCACTGAACCTCATCACCTGTGTCAAACCAGCGTGCTTGTTAAACTTGGTCACCCAGCTGAACAGGACGCATCGACACAGACCAGCAGCCATGATCACAGGTACAGTAACACAGGGACAATCATCGCCAGGTCACTCTGTGTTAGCTAATGTCAGTGAGCAGGTACCGCTGAGCTCCTCCTGGCAGCCTCCTCTCTATGACCCAGCACAAACTGAGGGAATCATTGTACAGCTGTTTTTGTGAATGTGACTTTATTCACACGAAACGATCGGTTGTTAACTTGTTCCTGTGGCGTCACCTTTATATTGTTTCGTATATTAGCTGTTAGCAGGTAGAATCAGTAAAGTTAAGCTAACCAGGAAGTGAGCTCCAATGCTACAAACAGGAACAACAAAATGCACTTCCGGTGCAAGCGATCTTCACTTTCACAATAAAAGCCGCCGGACAAACCCAGACTTTACTATAAAGGTAAAATTCATTGTTTATTAATTTCACACACTTAATGATATACTGACTGTGTTGCGTATTATGGGTTTGTACACAATCTATGTGTAGGTGTAAAGAGATTAACATGGTAACCAGTGATTAGTGTTTGTTTGACAAACTGCAAGTTATTTATCTTCGCCAAAACATGTAATGTTACAGATGGATAAAAAGGTTAAGCAGAGAATAATTCTTACAGAAGACAAAATCTTAAAAATATTGTCATATCTTCACAAAATTAAACAATAGATTTTTTTCTATTTATTGAATATGTATTTTGGATATGTCTAATGGCAGTTCGATCTCGTCACAGATTCGTCCCGATAATTTCTTTTTTATTTACAAGATATAAATGTGTTTTCATGGAAATCAACATTCATAACATTATTTGCACACAAGGAAACTACAACTACACCCAGATTGCATGCTATAGATTACAAATTATCTCCTTTGTAAATTGCATTTTTCACAAATTCATATTTTATTTGTAAAGAAGAAAAAAGAAAAAGCTCACAAACCTCCAGAAACTCTTTGTTTAAAGCCATCAGAACTCAAAAGCACAATAATATAAGACAAATCTTTGACAAATTACACACAGAAGTTTGATCAGTCTGAATTACAGGACAGTTCAATTCAAAATGTCTGAGACAATTTAAGTCACTGGTTGAAATGACAAAGGATGGAAAAAAACAAGAGTAAATTGATTTTGATTCTCATCAGTTGAAGCAGCAAAGACTGATTCTCAGTAGCTGGTGTTTTTGATGGTGATCTTCTGAGCCGCCTCAATCTTGAAGTCATTGATACCTGAAGGAGCAAACCAGCATTCCATTCTTTAATCAACGTAAAATTAAAGCATCAGATCAAATGAAATGAACAAAGAGACTGTGTGTGTGTGTGTGTGTGTGTGTGTGTGTGTGTGTGTGTGTGTGTGTGTGTGTGTGTGAGAGTACCCTTACCCTGATTGATTGCAGTGCCATCAGA